ACGTATTGTCGATCATCAAGTACAATAACGATCACTAATTTCACGGTATAAAGAATAAAGATAGGACTGAGGACGTCTAATTTATCCCTGGCAAGGATTCAATGAATGGCTTATAAATTTCGCGGTATGGAATGTAAATGTATTTGTACTTGGCCTAGAAAGGTGCTTGAAAAAAAAATCAGTGACCAGCGGTCGACATTGCCAATAAATCGATCGATCGATCGATCGATACCTCTCCTTGAAATCGATCGATGTATGCAAATTTGTTGTTGTTGGTGAATGAATAGTCCGTGGACAGTCGAAAAATCTTAAATGAACGGAATGGAATATCGTGTTCTAACAAGCAAATTTTTAAACTCCAAGTATCCTCATTTGATGAATTTTTATTAACCGTTTAATAAAGTATTCCGTTATCTCTTTCACTCGATCGAAGCGAAAAATTCCAAGTAGAATTACGAAGGAAATATTACTTCATGCCTCTGTAGAGTCACGAAACAACGTCCTCGTTCTCTTCTTCTTAACGAGCTACACGTCACAAACAAAACTATAACCAAGTATCGCGGCAATCTCTTCAAAAGAAACTCGTATACGTGTGTATACACGCGTACGTGTATATGCACGTGCTTCTTAGCATATGGGCTGTGAAACAGTAGGTTAATCGTTTGCAAGTTTGCAACTCACGATCTTAACTATAAACAAATATATACATAGTAGCTATAAAAGTTTTTTACATTGTTGCATACCAATTAATCAATATTTACGTTGTATTTCATATAATATTTGATAATCATATGAAAATTTGATTGTGATTGAAAATGAAATAAAAAAAAAAAATACGTGTAAATAAAACACAAATTTTTGTATAGCTGCTATACATATAGTCGAAGTCGAAGATGGTCCACAAAGTTTCGAGCATCGATTCACCGTAAGTACAACACAGGGAGTAACGTGTTACACGCAATTTAAAGATTAATTCTGTGCCGATGCTTACATACGTGAAACGTCTTGCTATCTATTCGATGGATCGTAGATTTCTGTGAAACGTTACGCTGAATTAATTTGATTCAGGTATCACCACTATAAATAACCGACCACTCGAATTCGCCAGAGATTCTAACAGTAATTACCATCAAAGAGGATCTTTGAAGTTTGTTTAAGCGTTTGAGAAATCGTTTGATGCGGCGTTAATTGGAATCAAAGTTTTCGCCAAGTCTTTAAGAATCGTTTACGAGGATTAATTTTATTCTTTCTGTGACCTATTTTCTTTCAAATTACTGCATAAATAATAGTAGATGTGCATTCAGCAATTATTCGAAGATGCGTGACCGTGCAAATTTATTCTTCTCGATCAATAATATTTCTATGTTTATCATTTTCTACGTTGTATTAAATATTTCCATGTTCTGTTTACCATTTTCTACGTTGTATTAAACTGCTGCGCTTTGATCTTTTTTTCTTTTCTATTTTAACATTTATTTCTTTTTCTTTTTTGATTTTTAATATAAATAAAAAGAAAAAATATTTATCGATACTGATATTATTGTAAAAGAAGAACGTACAATTTTTTCTAAATTTTTCTTCTTTTGTTTTTTATTCATAATAGATCATTTTCATATAGAGATTAAAATCGTATAGAAGACGATTCAATTGATCGAATCACAAAGCAAATGAAGCATTTTAAAAAAAATAAGAAGAGGAAAACAAATTTTGGAACGAGTAACAGTATTCTCGACTGATTCATCCTCCACGCAAAGTGTAAAACATTTTCGAAAGAAGCGCGCGGGAGCATTTATTTCGAACGATACTTGTCTATTTGTGGCTAAGCCGTCCCTGAGCGCCGGTTACGTCACCACGGCCACGTGACTCGTTGAATCTCATAATGGTCCATATTCGCCTCCCACGTATCAATGCAAAGCGATGATCCATCATCGATTCCGTACACCTGCTTGCTTCTCTCAATCGTTTACTTTTGATCAAAAGAAATGGATCGAAATCTGATTTTTAGATTTGCGATACTCTAGAACTAGGTTTAGAAAATCTCGAAACACTGATACCTTTCTAAAAAAGATTCAGAAATTTTTTAAAGAAATTTTGAAGTTTCAAGTAAATTCTTAATTAAAATTATCCAACGAATATCAATATATCTTTTATTTAATCTTTATATAATTCAATTTTTCACATATTTATATTCTCCTTTGTTTAATGAGCAACAGATAACCTAACCTAAAAGAATCGAAATGAAGTGAGAAAAAATTCTCATAGTGGAATGATTTTCAAAGTATGTATTCGTTATGTTATTTAAATTATATAATTTTTATTCGCTATAAAATGATGTAAATGATTTTTTTATATATGAAATTTAGATTTGATATTCCAAAAATTAAATATTTTTCTAATCGTTCAATCGTTTAAATTGTAGACACTATTTTAGGAACACACGGCTTGCACTTGGTTTCCACATGCTCTCGACACCGTTTGAATGATTTATAACATTTAACCAGCATAGACCTTGACGGCTAACCTTCTCCGCATTATTTTAAAAGCTTCCGATAGATTTCTGATACTTCCACGCTTCGCTTGTAAACGCGATGTTAATAGCATATTTCATATTTCATGAAAACTCAAGAAAGTTGCACGGAAGCTATTATCTCTTCTCTCATTATATTACATTATACATGTAAGATTGTATAACACAAAATCTTTCTTTACAAAGTTGGGAATCATGAAATATCAAAAGCAATTGTATCTAATTTATTTTAATAAATTTATTTTAATAAAAATTTTAAATCTATTTGCACGAGAATAGAATTAATGAATATATAATAAAAATGTAACAAGAATTTGAAAAATTGATTCCAAATTTAATCGGTAGTATATGTTTTAGAATTATGTATTGAATTTTTGGAAGCAAACGATTCATGCATATTCCTTTCGAAACGAATCGATTCGAAACAAAACCACTACGACTATCTATACAATTGCCATAGTACATGCCAGTGTTTTTCAACCTTTTTTGATGTTCAAATAACTTGCGATCTCCTTCGATGTAAGGTAAGAATCATTAAAAAAAAATCAACTAACGCTAAAAATCATTTCATTAACATAAAGTCATTTCATAAAAATGATAACAGAAAAGTCGGAAATATGCGGTCCACAGGTTGGGAATCACTGGTGTATACAAAAGTTTACGCTATGCCTGGAGAGAAGCCAAACGAAAAACGCAAAAATGCAAATCTGCCTTTATGCATGGCCACCTACCGAAGTTTGATCACTGTTTTGTGATCCGGTGGATATATATTCCGGTCGATTATGTCCATCAGTCACAATTCGTAATTTACCAAACGAAACGATCGAAAATTGGAGAGGAACGATTCGATATGTCGGCTGCAACGAGGTTAGAAAATTACTGCGCAAAATATTACGGGATCAACGCAAGCTCCTCACCTTTTCCACACGTTGCAATTGCAATTTAGTTCACGATTCCGAGTGGGGACACACCGCCACTACGACGTGTCATTGTCAAGGATAAACATTGACGTAATAAACATGTCCTCTCTAACCTAACCAATCATTGCTTTTAAGTAAAGAGGATTTACTTTAACGATTTTTTAAATTCCATTAAGAGAATATAATTATAGTAAGTATACTTAAGTCAGGATTATTAGATATTGATATATTCTTCGAATAAATTTAAATTCTCTGTAGATTTGATTTAAAAATGTGAAAAATGTTATTATAGAGTCAATGCTATTGTAAAGTATTATGATATGCATGTGTAATCGACACTCGCAATTTATGTTCGTTCTAGGTTATGTCATTTATATCACGAATCGTTTGAAGTGTTTTTTAATATCTAACGTGATTAAATTACAAATATTGTAACACGTCGTAATACAGTATCAATTGTTTTTAATGAGTAACGATTTGAAAACTTCTCTATTACTAAAATGTAAAGTATATAGTATTGAAAAGAATGCTTTTTGTTGGATGACGCGATGATGCAGTATCATGAAGTATTTAACGAGATTACAGGAAGGAGCGTGTTCTTTGTCACTGCAACAAGTTGTGTTAAATGGTCACCCATTATGCAATGTATCGTTCGACTAATGACCGACATATGTCATTCATTTACATAATGATTGATAGATGAAAAATTGTCATATATCGTTCAATGTCTAACCAATTTTGTGTTTCGATAAAATTGTTATTAATCTTTTAACTTTTAATTAAGATTTTAATATTTCCGAATTATTAAAATTTTATGTAATAAAGAAATAAATTTTGTTTATTTGTTAGAATATAATTTAATTATTATTATCTATATAAATTATAAAATAATGAATAATTATAAATTATTAAAATTGTAATTCAAATAAATAATAGTATAAAATACGCAACTAATTTATTCAATTTCACAAAAGGATCTGATATCAACAAACTGAAGAATATATATAGTACGTAGTCTATAATGCTAAATAAGTATTTATCTTTTGATTTAATCTAATCTTACACGCAATTGAAGTCACTTTTTAAATTGGACTATTCGAATTTCATTTTAACGGAAAACAGAAGATTATTTAATCGATCCATTTTACGAGCACATAAAATTCTTTGTCTCTTTGTTTAAACACGGTTCGTCCCTTTATTTATTTGGAATTCTTCTAAAAAAAGATACAGAACAAATGAATGAAAATACGTCGATAAATAAGCAAATTTTTCATTCAATCACATGAGATCATCGATAAAATCTAAGAAAATTATAAAATTCACAATAAATTTTGCACGACCTAAATACACATTTGCCAACATGAACTCGAATCTGTAGAATTTTAGTTGAGGTTATTTTCTGTCGATGAAATTTTTCGAACAGAGGGGAAGAAAGAAATTCCCCAAGGTGGCAAACGAGGAGGGTTCTCCAGAATTTATGTTGGAGGGTGAACATGTACGACCGCTATAATTCGTAAACCTTCTCTTCGAAGTAGAAATTCGCTTTAAAACGTGAGATCTTAAATCTTTGGAATCATTAAATTTTGTTATCTTCTATAAAGATGAAAATTAAAAATTTTAGCCTTTTTTTGTTAATATTAATTTTATATTTCATAAAAGAAAAAACTTTTTAGATTCAAAAAGTAAATTGAATTATTCTGGAAAATCATATTATAAAAAATACCAGTTTTCGAAGAATCGAATAATAAATTTAGAACAAGGATTCTATAATTAGTAGTTTCATCGCATAGCAAGCCACGATATCCAAGATCGAACAGGCCTCCTATTAAAATAACACGACTGTTAGCTTTTGCGGTGTTGGCATGCAAAAACCGTGGCATATGGCACGCACTCGTTTCATCCATCGAATTCGCATCCCATTTTATGTGAATTGCACCTCAAGAAGTTTTCGAATCAACAAATATATTCCAAATTTTTCAAAAAAATATTCAAATACTAAAAATATTATTACATTCAAGAAATAAAAATGCTATACGAATGATTAATCGAAATCTTAATTTGTAATTTAAATATATATATATTGAATAAATAAATAGACAAATATAATAATAATAATGGACATTTATCATCTTTAAAAAATTTAAATAAATAAATATTCAATTTGGAAACAAAGATATTTGTTTTTTTCGAACATTCTAATTAGAATAATCTTTGTTCAACTTCGTTTGAAATTAGAAATTCAAATGTTACATAGATCAAAAACGAAAAGAAATATTCAGATTTCTGTGTTCAAGGACACAGGCATTACAGATCTTCGAGAAGACGTGCATCGAGAGAGAAGGAGCAGGTGCAAATTTTCGTCAGACGGAATCGTTTGTTTTTCGTTTACCCCCTGGGCGAGAAAGGCACGCCGAGAGGGCTCTCCTCGCCCGTTGTTCGTAACGAACGTACTGACGAAGTCTCTATAAATAGCGGGTGCGTTACTGAAATACGTGAAACGAATATACATATATGTATACGTATGCATTCACAAAAAAAAAGTTAATGTCGCGACCTTAATTTACATTTATCAACGATCAAAGATAGAAGCATTTTTTTTTTTATTATTTCATTGTAATAAATACAAATTATAGCTATGTTTTATCTCATCATTTCATGAGAAAAGTTATTATATATAGTTTGTTAGATCTTTTTTTCATAATAATATAAAACCAATCAAAAATTTAAAATTTATATAAAAGAACTTCAAGAAATATTCATATACATATATAATAATAATATTATAATAGTTTTTTATTGTATATTATATATCATCATCATTATAAAACGATCATTATAGAACTCTGCAATCGATTCCAAGAATTTTTTTTCAACTATCGGAATATTAATGATCAACATTACCTTATACATATAGCACTCTGTATAAAGCGTGTATATATATATATATATATAT